TTGATTCAATGCAGAGTTATTTACCTAAAGGAGCAATCGAGCAGGTATCAACTCCCACTTAATAGTTTTTTTTCCCTTTCTTTAGCGGTACAACCATATTATAAGAATTCTAGATTTACCTCTGCATGAATAATACATATAATATATATTCGCCAGATATTTTTAATTAAAACAGCTCGGGGGAGGGCTATTTTGGTTAATTCATTGATAAAAATTAAGGATTGCAATAGAAAGCATCGAGTGTCCAGCCCCTATATCTTGGTTACTGAACTAGCTAGGTTGACCAAATGAAGAAGTTTATTGTTTAAAAGTTTATTGGAGATTGTTAGTTTATTTTATTTGTTTGACTTTGGGGTCACAAAAGGGCACCCCTTACAACACACTCTATTTAATTATTTTACATTGAAATTTGAGTTTGAATCCACCAAAAAAGGTTCCAAAGTCTGAAGCAGCCTTATCCCTTTTATCTTTTTTATGTATTGAAAATAGATACTTTAATTTATATTGCAGGTTCATGGCTCCAGAGCAACATGGCCACTTCCGAAAAACCAGGTTAGCGTGTGAATTTTTGAAGAGATAACGAACCAAATGAAAAGAAGAACTAAAAAAGAAAGAAATTAAGAAAGGGCATTATCCAAAGATAGTACTCCACTTATTTAAGTATGAATATTTCTAACTATTAGTTTACATGGTCCTTAAACTGGTTATTGGAAATCCCACATAGTAGGGAAACAATACTATAAATAGTTGTTATTACCATCCGTGTATTTTATATGGTTATAGCAAGTTTATTATTTCATTTTTAGGCTATTGAATTAGTTTTACTATAAAAGATACACGTTATTTTTGCAAGTTTTCTTGACATGACAGTGTTAATTATCCACATCAGTGGGTAGTAGGGTACTTGTATGGTTGATCTTGGGCATAATTTTATATGTTTTAATGTTATTTTTTTCATGTTTTGACTGCTTTTTGGTGCTATTTTACGATGAATATGCCTAACTTATATTAATTATTGATTTTTATAATAACTGAGTTGTGTGTGGTGGTTTAGGACTTTTGGATACAAAAATAGAATAAAAATATGCTTAAGTTAAAAGAATAAAGTATGCAAGCTTCGCTTGCAACTTAGCATGCGGAATGGAGAGCCAACAACCTTAGCAGTGAAGTTTCAGGAAGGCCTTCACCTTAACATCCATACCTGAGCCCAGCAGAGTTAGTGGAACGAGGCTTTGATGTGAGGCATCCACCCTAGCATCCGCCGCTAGGAAATTCAAACTGAAGTGGACGTGAAGCATTTAATTTAGCATCAATCCCTGAAGCTGATTCCGAAAAGGAAAAGGAGAATTTTGACACACGACTTTTGGGCGCAATATATAAAGAAAAAATGTAGCTTTTAGGTCACTTTTGGACACGACTTTCATCTTAAGTTCTTCTTTTTCCCTTATATTACTGATTTTTATGTATTCTTGGGAATTAATTGAGATTGTTATCGTGACTATGTGTAGCTAAACTCGTTTATTCTGGGGTTAAGTTTTTACATGAATGTTAATATTCAGAGATTTTTTTGACGATTTAATTTTATCTTCATATCTTGAGCCTAATTATTTTACTGCATAGCTAACAATGAAATATTATATATGAATCTTGAGTTAAACTTGAATTTGTAATTCTTGATTGTAATAAGATTGAATAGAGCGTGATCTTAAACATAGTCATTGGGGAATTGATTTGTGAATACTGATAGAAGTATACCTATTTGCCGTGTTTAGCCGATTGTGCAAGAAATTGTTAATAAGCACTTTTTATCTCTAATCTCCTAGAAATATTGGGTTTAGAATAAATTGAATAGATGAGTATAGAAGTTGTCAAATTTCTAAGAATATTGTTGTCCATGTAGGTTAACAACCCAGATAAATTAATAAGTCGAGTCGATTGAAGAATTCAACAAGATTGTTACATATCCATGACCTAGAATATTATTTCTTATTGAATTCAACCTTTCTTGCTAAGAGTGCTAGTTAATTTTTTTTTCTTTTAACCACAACTCTAGTTAGTAGAATTAATTAAACAAAAATTACCTTGAAATTGTTCTTGACTCAATAAATTAGAATTTATTTGATTTAGTTTATAATTGAGCACAAGTTCTACGAATGATACTCTGCTCACTCTTTATTACTTTATTGACCGCGTATACTTGCGTGTGCGAGGCAACAATAATCTTGGGATATACTTACCTCATAAGCTAGCTTTTGGGATTGAGTTAGACCCAAAGTTTATTTCTATTTCTCCTACCAAGTGTTGGAGCATATCAACTGATTGGTCAAGGATTTTTTTTTGGGGGTCCGGACCGGGCATGAAGAATTATTAAATGTGTTACCATTATGAATTATGATTTAAACAAATATTCGACAATTGGTGTTACGATAGAGATGTTAGCTTTAAGGTTTCACGTATTAATTTTGATGATAACAAACCAATATAAATCAAAGAATATTTACTTGTGATAATCTTATTTTTGTACAGATTTATTCAAGAAAGAAGATGCTGGTAAAGATCCAAACAAATATGGAAAAGAGAATATCGTGTGAAAAAATTACCAAGGAAGATTATTTTCAGAGATTTAATCTCCAAGCGTCAGAGAAGGAATAATATTTGAAAGTGAAAATTCAAATATTGAATGGCTTACTACAATATCAGAAGAAGAATTTATGGAAATTATGGATGAAAAGCTCTTCAACATCTTGAAAGGAAAGTTGCTAAAATCATGGATAAAATCTATTATTTTGTGGAAGAAAGATATTATATGGAAGAGATATTACAAGGCAAGGAAGAATATATTTTTTATGGAAAGAAAATATATTATGAGTATAGTATATTCTCTATTATAGAAAGAGATTATTTTTCAAGATCAAGAAAGGAGTCGAAGATATATTGAGATCTATCAAAAAAGAAATATTTTATTGGAAGAAGATATCATGGTTTATTTTAGGGAGCAAATCTTTTACACCAATCAAGGAAGTCTATTAAGAAAAGGAAAGAGGGGTTCTACGGAAGGAACACTATATAAAAGAATATTGGAGGGTGCATATGTCAAGCCACAAAAATATGATCAGTACCTGTTCAAAAGGAAGATATGTAACAAAGGAAGTTCCCATGTCAAATTATCCATAAGGAAATAAATGACATCATGGACTCACACTCAGAAGGCAAGAAGTACAAAGTGTCCAAGTTCAAAGGACATTTTCAAATACTGTCATGGCAATTTCTGGAAGCAAATAATATTAGAAAAGGACATGATCAAGACAAAATATGGAGCATCAATTGACAAAGACTACTATCAGCAACCAAGGAAGGATTAATTGCGGTACAATAGCTCTTTTTATTGGTCTTTCTATTAGTTCTGTCACTTTCCTTTGCTCGGAGATGATTAATTGTTCACTGGCAATACATGTATCTTTGAATCTCTAGCAAAATTCTATTATTGGATAATTGGTCCTAGCCAAATCGGAACAAGATAAAAGGTGACGGATTGAGTTATCTGGCACTACTCGCAACACATGTAAGGAGGAATAAGAAGAAAAATAAGACACATCCTATCACGCCTTCGCATAATCACAATTATGGGAATGACCGGCTACATAACCATAATTGAGATTCTACTACCGACATGTGCTCCAATAGTCACAAGAATAACCTAGGACTCTGATACCAACTTTGTCACGACCCAATTTAGGGCCTTGACCGGCGCTAAGGGGTAGGATCCCAAAGTAAGCCTTAACGAAAAACTACAGAAAATCGGGCAGAGTTTTCCCTATTTTAGGACTATCCAAAAATTTACCCTGTCTCACAAATCAACAACAAAACTAACCTATATTAAACAAAATATCTCATATTCTTCATCAACTAATCAAACAATTACTCACCACTATTAATCAATCACTTGTAACACAATAATCTTAAATTCATCTCCAAAATACTATAAGATAGTCTAATATTAGTCATAGGTTTAAAATAATGAACGAATACTCATGACACTAACAAAATGCCTATGGAGCGACTCTAAGTGTTTTAAAGAAAATAACATGACAAATGAATAAATATTTCACCCACACGAACAAGCGCGGGGATCACCAAAAATTTCTCAAATCGTGTACGCTAATTAATGAAATCCTCACTCGCGTCAACTGATATCTCTTTAAAAAAAATAGCGGGGGAGTGAGTCGCTAGCTCAATAAGTAATAACACTTAACCACAACCATTTTTAATTGGGGACAAGTCAGAAAGCATGCTTGTTTAATAATAATCAAAAACTATGATAAAAATAAAATGCCCTCTCAAAAACGGTAAATATAATTAGCCTATTCATGTACTTCCTGTGACAGAAATTAATGTAACAAATCGATAATAAACACGGTAGACACTGTCTCATAGCAAATCTTTATGTTTGGGAGGTTTCCAAGAAAGGATCATGTAATCTGTATCACTATGTGAGCCCCTTCATAAAAGGAGCCAAATATAACTTGTAGGTCCCTACTCGAGGGAAAACTGTAATTGTATGCCAGTTCTATCTTCTCACTAGCGAGGGCTATAACTGTACTCGGTAATCGATAAATACAAGGTGCACCAGGTCTAACGAACCTACCATTAGCTACGGGATCCTTCAAAGTCTCCTCCCATTCATACTTTTCTTTGTAAACAGTAAATATTTACATTGAGGCATTTTCAAAATAGTACAAGGGCATTTCAATTCTTATCAAATCATGTAATCCAATTTTTGTGACGGTAATCATATCTCTAGTAAAAATAAAATATGTCTAGTAACAGTGAGAATATTTTAAATAACGGTAAACATCTCAAGTAAACTATTCAGTACCATATCAAGTAAAGGACTTGTCCCACATGCAATTTCAAACACTCAGTAACATATTTTATTTTCAAAATAATGTATAAACCATGCAGATTATGAAAACACAAATTGGGGTAAGATTACTACTCACAGTACTCATGCCGAAATATCGAACTTGACGCTGCGAGCACTTTGTTTGACTTCTTCAACTACCTATATCGTTACAAAACCAATCTATGTATTAACTCCATGAGCACCAGTATAGTCAGTTAAATTTTGTTGAACTTAATTCTTTCCCTGTTTTCACTCCACAGGACATGACTTATTTCTGCGAATCAATAGTATACCCAACTCTCAGAATATCTCATTTTATTCTCAAATAACGTAAACTAGTCCAGTATCTTCCTTAAAAAGGTTTTCAAATAGTTTATTTGCTATAATACTAACAAAGAAGAAAAATTCTTTCCCTGGACATACGAATCAGATGTAACTTAAAATATCATTGTTGCCCACAATATTTCTTATTGATATTTAATTTTATATACCTTGTGATATCCTTCAAACATAAACGAGATTAAAAAGGAGAACTCAAATGAGAAGTTCGAGTATTACCCGTAAGAATCAGTACATATTTAAAATTTTCAAACTTTGGTTCCAGCTCCTTTCTTCTTCTTCTCCTTTGTTCCTTCTCTGCGTCCTTTTTTTTCAACTGGTATAGCTTCTATTTTAGCCGGAAAAGGTTGCGTCCCTTTTCCCCCAAATCTTTTGATTTTAATTGTACTAAAACCCTATAAGACTAGGAACTCCAATCTCCTTTTTGCTTAGTTTGAGTTATGCTACTTCTCTTTTGGTGGGCTTTGACCCACCTAAATTTTATTATTTAATTATTTTTTATTTATCTTTTTTTTTTCTTTTGTCTTTTTCAATTAAGTTCTAGCTAAAGGACAATTATGTACTTATTTTAAATACGGGGTATTACATCAATCAAGAAAGGAAAACAAATATTCTTGAAGACCCATTCGCAATGATCAAAAAATCATTTCTAAATATCCTTGGGTTATGCAATAGCCAGAAAATGTTGAAATGCTAAAATAAGAGATCTACAAAGGAAGAAAGCATGCAGCCTTGTACACAATTATCTATACAACTACAAGTTCTTTATTCTACTCTTTACAAACATTGTAATTTACTTTAGTAGATTTACTGTGTACACAAAAGAGAGAAGAGAGACAAAAAAATATTGAAGAGGCAGTGTATCTGAGAGGTTGTGTCATTGTTCGTTTCTTTGGTGAGCGAGTGAAAACCAAAGGGTCGTTGTTGGTGAGAGAGTGAAAACCAACTCTTGTTCGTTATTGGTGAGCGAGTAAAAACCAACCCTGTCAATGTTGGTGGTGACCGCTGAAAACCACAAAGGTTGTACTCAATTCAATTTATAAAGAGCTCTAAAAGACAACACTCTTGCAACCCAAGAGGATCGAATTAGGATACTACATTAGTTCCGAACCAGTATAAAATTCCTTGTATCATTAACTTTATCGCTCTTATATTATATTCTGTTTCTTTACTGTTTATTTTGATTAACACTTGTTTAAATCGAAAGGACTAACAATTTTGTGTAGGCTGTCTCCGCATAAGTCGACTAGGTATGAAGAGTAGTCGACTAGAAATTTAAAAAGGCTACAATTCACCCCCTTTTGTACTTTCAATTGGTATCAAAACAGGTCTCACATCTTTATTTTTTTTGCTTAACAGCATGTGAGAAAAGATCGATGGCAGGTCATCAAATTGTTGGAAACGTACTTCAAGAGGGATACTCAACAAGAAGGCCACCGTACTTAAATAGTCAATACTATAGCCATTAGAAAGAAAGAATGAAGGATTATGTTCAATCAATAGATTATCGAGCATGTCTAGTTATTCATAATGGGCCAAGACCTATTTCGAATAATATTGATGGAAAGAAGCTTGTAAAAATGGCATCCATATTTGACTACACAAAAGAACAGTTGGATATTATGCAAACACATGCTAAAGCAATCAACATGCTCTATTGTGCGATTAGGAAAGAAGAATATAAGAGAATATCCACCTGTGAGACTGCTAAAGATATATGAGACAGAACTGAAAGGTGGTAAATGCCACACCACTAGACTCAAGAATCCCTGCTGTACGGAGCATCCACTGACACTTGTCAAGAAAACCTGAGCATCCTCGCCCTCAGCGCCACTGAGCGACGGAGGCTGGAGCCTACCAAACCTCTCAAGACGACGTTGCTCATCATCCGGCATGGCTGGTACTATGAACTCATAAACTGGCGTAACCGGCTGAGCTGGAGGTGCCCCCAAAGTCTATAGTCCTTGCACTACCTGCTGAGGTGTGCAAGCAGCGGGGGTCTGATTGCCTCCCTCGACATGTGAAGTAGCTGCTACGGTAGTGGCTGAAACGGACTGAGCCAGGCCAGTGCAAACCGATTAGATCTGCGTTAAGGCCTCCTGAAGACCCGGAATCACGATGGGCACAGCTGGTGCCTGAACTGGTGCTGTTGGAGCCTGATCCGAAGTTGGGGCAGCTGGTGGATCAATAAGTGCTTCCCTCGCTGCTTTGCCTCTGCCATGTCCACGACTGCGTCCACGGCCTCTGGTAGCCCCAGTGGATGGTACTGGTGGTCATCCACCTCGTCCGGTAGCTCGCGTCCTCACCATCTGTGAGAGAATAGAATGACAGAAGTTTATTTCTCGAATCAACAAAGTCGCACGACAGAATTTCAAGGATGTGAAGTTTTTCCTAAAGGTCCTGCAGCCTCTCGAGGATAAATACAGACGTTTCTGTACCGATCCGCAAGACTCTACTAAACCGGCTCATGACTTGCGAGACCTGTGTAACCTAGGCTCTGATACAACCTTGTCATGACCCCAACCCCGGTCGTTATGGCGCCCAACACACTTCTAGGCAAGCCCGACCAACTAACAACCTCGACCCATTTCTTATACAATTCATTATTAGCTAACACAGTTAAATTGCCAATTTATCATAATAAAAGTTTAGGACAACGAGTAAAATATGCAGAAATTCAGATGATAATACCATTACATAACCCATACAGATCTGGTGTCACAAGTCTCGAGGCTCTAGCACAATTTTAACAGCCTAATACATAATCAGTTTAGGAAATATGGATAAAACAAAAGGATAGAAGGGAGAGATACGGGCTGCAGACGCCGTGCAGCTACCTCGATGCTCCCGGATATGAACAGATTGACTGAATATCCTCACTCAGCCTCTGGAACACCTGGATCTACACGCAAGGTGCAAGGAGTAATGTGAGTACTCCGACCCAATAAGTAATAAGCATAAATAATGACTGAGAATAAGAAATCACGGAAATCACAGAGTAATCTATAATGCGGCAGTTTAAACAAGTAATATGAAAGCAATAAACCAATGGAAACGAAATATGGAGATGCTACAACAAATAAGCAGTTAAGTGACAGACATATAACGAAAATCAACACATAGAACAGTACCCTATAGTACCCGCTGCGGCGTGCAGCCCGATCCGTATATTTATCGTCGACGACGCTCACTAGGGGTGTGCAGACTCCGGGAGGGGCCCCTTATGGACCAAGCGCAATATCAAGCCATCCCATGGCATCAAATAGGCCCTCGGCCTCATATCAATATCAACATAATACTGCTGCGGCGCGCATCCCGATCCCATAGTATCCTCACATCTGGCCCTTGGCCATACTTAGTCCAAAAATCATATAAGCCTCTCGGGCATTTAGTAAAACAGTAGTTCTCAGCCCAAAACATCATTTAATATATCTTTTTAAATTCAAAAACCGAGTAAAAGTGGCTTAGTTGTAAAACAGTGGAAAACGGTACGACTGAGTTCAAGTAGTAACTCTAAATAGTGAGAAAATAGTGATAAAACTCCCCGGAGGGTTCAAATAGTTGGCACGAAGCCCAAATATGGCAATCAATCCAAATAATGAGGATAACAAATAAGCTTTAATCAAATACGCGGTAAAAGCGTCACTCAGGACGGACCAAGTCACAATCCCCAATAGTAAACGACTCCATGCTCATCATCAAGCGCGTGTCTCACCTCAATATAGCATTACGATGTGCAAATCCGGGGTTTCAAACCCTCAGGACATCATTTACATTCATTACTCACCTCGAACCGGCTAAAGCTCTAGCTTACTATGCCCTAGCCTCTCAAATCGGCCTCCTCGCGCGTCGAATCTGACCAAAACCAGAACGAATACGTCACAATATGCTAAGGGAACAAAGCCCAAGCAAAAACAATCGAAAAATATCAAAAATCTCGAAATTGGCAAAACCCGAGCCCCGGCCCCACTTCTCGAAACTCAGAAATTTTCACATCATTAGATTTCTTATCTCCCCACGAGTTCATACATATCAAAAACACCAGAATCGGAGTTCAATTGACCCCTCAAATTCTTAATTTAAGCCCTCTTAAACTCAAGCCCTAAACCTCCATTTTTAGTCCATTCATGAAATACCACCATAGAAGTGTGTTTTAATACCAAAATCCTTACATTATCGAAGTTCCCTTGAAATCTCTCTTCAAAATCACCCAAAAACTCTAAGTCCAAAGTTAAAAATGGTTAAACCCTTTAAAAACCGCGAAGAAGAGACATATATACATTCTGCCCAGGGGTTTTCGCATCTGCGACCCCTTTACCGCACCTGCGGTACCGCATTTGCGGTCCAACCAACCACTTCTGCGGTTTCTCATTAAAATTCCAAAAGTCGCTTCTGCGACTGGACTTCCGCATCTACGGCTTCGCAGATGCGACCACCTCGACCGCTTCTGCGGAAACTTCTCCCCAGCCCAAACTTCGCATCTGCGGTTTTTCCCCTCGCACGTGCGGTACCGCACCTGCGGTTCCCAAGCCGCAGGTGTGAAAACACCAGAAGCAACACACTTTCTACAATCATTCAAGTTCTAATCTTCCCGTTAACCATCCGAAATTACCCCGAGGCCCCCGAGACCTCAACCAAAAATAGAAACATGACCCAATACCTTATTCAAACTTGTACCAATCGTCAAAATACCTTAAACAACACCAAACTACTAAATCACATCGAATTCAAGCCTAATTTTCTAAAATCTTCCGAAATACGTTTTCGATCAAAAACCCAACCGAAACACATTCGAATGACCCGAAATTTTGCACACACATCCCAAATGACATAACGAAGCTACTACAACTCTTGGAATTCTATTCCGACCCTCAGATCAAAATCTCACCTACCAACCGAAAATCGCCAAAATACTAACTTCGCCAATTCAAGCCTAATTCTATACCGGACCTCCAAAACCAATTCCGATCACACTCCTAAGTCATAAATGACCTCCTGAAGTCAACCAAACCATCGGAACTCACATCCAAGCTCTCTAACTCATAATTCAACATCCGGTTGACTTTTCCAACTTAAGCTTTCTTAAAAGAGACTAAGTGTCTCATTTCTTACCAAAATCACACCAAACACAAACCAATCAACTCGACCACACAAAACACAGATAACAAAGCATAAAGAAGCAAAAATGGGGTAAACGGAGCGGTAACTTATGAGACGACTGGCCGGGTCGTCACAAAGATAATTTGTGAAGAGAATTACTTCTTATATCCATTCTCTTAGTTAAAGTTTCAATATTTCATTCAAATCTGAGAAAGTTGTTTAACCTTGATGCCTCGGTAACTTGTGCATGTGGAGAT